TTAGGGCTTGCTGATCACATCCTCAGCTCCGGATGAGGGCACTTGATATGCTACGTCCTCCAATGACATCATCCTCACCCCCATAATCTACTTTGAGTATTGGCCCCAGCATCACAATCCCTTGGTTACCGTGGGGTCAAGCATAAACCATTTTCCTCTGGGGCAACTTGCTTATTCACTCCTTACTGGATGCTCATTCAGTTAGGGGTGTGGGAGTCGTCTCTCCATTTTTTCAAAAACCAACTTATTTTCTTGCCTTTCTTCTTTCGTATACTTCTTTTCATCATGGCAGGTAGGGATTGGTGCCATTTTTACAGACTGACAAATCCTTAATTCTCCCAGGAGGCTCTCGGAAATTAGATCAGGTTATGAATGCATAGTTGGGGGCCCAAAGTTTTTGGTTAAGGAAGAAAGACACAAAGAAATATGGAAACCTGGAGAAAAAAGGAGAATAAGAACTACAAAGGACAAAAGAGACAATGGGGTTTGCGTGACCGATCAAATGATCTGGTTCAGGTATCTCTCTAAGACAGAAGGGAGCGCTTTGCTTTGGGCTGAATGTGTGGACACCCACTCCGGTTTGTAAATGACGGTCTAGAACCTAGAAAACATGCTTGCCACTTTCTCCAGGTTTATGGGTTAGGGTTAAGGTTCATATATTTGACATCTTGCTGTAGGTCATGAATTTGGAAAGCAAAGCAAACCACACCCAGCTTCTCCCCCAAAGACCCCAGGGGTCACTTGGTGAGGGGAGCAGGATGAGGAGGGGGAGGGCAGGAGCACTGCCCACTTGGTCTCTTCAGCAGTCTGTGGGCTTGTGAATTTCGCTTCAGCAAGAAAGGGAGAGAAGCTTCCTTATGGAGGTATCGGGGTAGAGCCACCCGCCCGACCCGTTGTGCCCTTGACAGCCATGGCAGCACGCTGATGATTCAGACGTGGATTTTGTTCAATTTGTTAGGAAACACAGTAGAAAAACTGTTAAAAACTCTTATCCACAGAAGTGGGAGAAGAGCAGCATTTGCCTAGTACGTGGCAGGAAGGGAACCTTGGATCTGATGGACATATGGTGGTTTGCTTGGGTTCATTTGAATTCGGTTTGCTTTGATCAAGAGTGAGCATCTCTGTACAAGGACAACCAGAAAGGAAAATTGGTAAAGCTCCTGCCTAAAAAGTGATGGCGAAACCTTTGGGTCAGCATGTCAAACATTCAGAAAATACCTAACTCTGACTCTGCTGCTGTGTGAGCACCCCCCCCCGCCCCACCAAACAAAAGAGCAACCATTCTTTACAAATTCATTTATTTTTTAAAAAATACATTCTAATTGTGTGGTATTATGTATTATATAAAGGAACACACATGTTGAAGCTCTTAAACAATCCATGTGAATCAGCAATTTAACCAAATATCCAGCATCTTCAAGCATAAGAAAAGTAGAAAGGAAGTTCACAAAGGGAAATGGGTAGGAAATTCATAGAATCATAGTTGGAAGGTCGTCAGGTCCAACCCCAGGATTCACTAGACCAGCCCTGATACATGACTGTCGCCTCTTTACTGCTCTTTACACTTTCAATAGCTCTGTACTGGGAAGGAATACAATAGCAGAAAGACTTCAGATAGAAGATGAGAACCAGCTGTTGGAGCTTCCAAAATCTTGCAGAGGTCCTCAGGGTGAAGAATCTGCTAGGACCACATTTGGGGAAGAAGCAAAGTACCCCTACTGGGTTCAGAGAGAAGTTGAGGAAGGAGGGGGAGAGCTGGTGGTAATAGTGGTCAATCAATCAATCAATCAATCCATCAACCAATCAATCAATGGTGGTGTCCTGGGGGTTCACCCTTCAGAATAGGAACATTCCAGCAGGAGCCTTGAATGGTGGAGTAAGTACCTGCTCTGAATCTCTACCACTCTCTCCCAGCTTCCAAACAACAATCCCGGTTTTGGGTACATGATTCCTATATGGCATACGGAGATTCTGAATGCACATACTCAAAACCATGTATGTGTGTTAATCTTTCTGATCAACAGGTAAATGGCTAATGGCCTCTCCCCTCTTTCTGTCTGTTTGTTACAGATCACAATCGTAACTCCCGGGCAGCAGAAGACCGAGATCTTCCGCCTCCAAGCTGTCTGATGACAGATCCCTCTACGATAGGAGGAGAGCCTGAAGATGGCTCCGGAACACAGTTACCA